CAATCTTTTGCGAGATAAAGCTTGGTTTCTGATAATGGTAAGATTACCTGATGATGTCGACCACTATGACGGCGAAACTTCTGGGAATGTACCACGTCCATGGTCCTACTCTTAAAATTATCATTCATAATGTGGACTGCGGACAAGTTGCGTTTCTCTAGATCTTCCTGCTAAGATGACTAAGTTGTGAAATAAAACTCAAACAACTTCGTTATAATAAGGAGTTAATTAAGTCTAAGAGATTAAAATGAATAGAAATTTAGGTAAAGAGTTAATCATGATACTGACGAAATTATGGATGATTTATCATATTTTAAATTAAATTGGACTAGTCCGATCGGTTTGGAAGAAAAGAAATGTGTTATCCTAGAAATGCAGGCGTTGTTTTTTTGTTAGGTTGGAACACCCCTAAAGGAGTTTTTCAACCTCTTTCTCTCAATTTAGTCGCAGCGACGGAGAAACATTTTGGTACGTACTTGGATATGCGTCCTTGGCCTTTCATAAGGTTTCCAGTATCTGACAGACCTTTCTCAGACATTTCTCTGACATCGTCTATAAGAAGCACATTCCTTAGTACCGTGGTAGGAATTGTCAAAGTGGCAAACAGTTATGGATGAGACCTCCTATAGACGTCTGGGAAATGCCCAAGTCAATGCCCCGATGCTAGCATGGCAGAGGACGTGGTACTAGCGACCATTCAATTTAACAGGTCGCCATATTTAGCCGGAAAAACAGTATATTTAGGTTAAATTCAATGAGCAATTCATTTAGCATATCTGATCATAATCAATTTTTGAGGGTAATATTAAAATAGATAAGGCTGAATATTAAATTATAGAAAGGAAGTAGATTTTCTAGACTGCCAGTAAATCAGATATATGAGTTGTTTTCGCCCTATTTTATTTAAGGTGATTAAGGCCTGGTTGTTGAAGTTTTCCACAATGATATGAGTAAAGATGATGTTTCCATTGAATTTCGCATAGCCTTGCTTCACCATAATGTTTTCAAATCATAGGTGAAGGGAAGTTTCGATCTAGTATAGGTCTTATTAGCCCTTAATCACCTACAGAACAAGTAATGTCATCGATTGATATTGCAAATATAGGTTTGCTTCATCGAAAATCCATACCCAGAATGTGAAATAGAAAATGCCCACTATTCCTTAAAATTCACTTCTGTCTTGTGAGCCAGGGGCACTCTTGGCAATGTAGCGTGATTGCTAACTTGCCGAGCTTACACACTGCACTGTCATGTTTCAAATCCTGCCTAGGGTGTAGATAAGACCTATGCGATGTCGAAACTGCAGTCCATCCTGGATGAAATCACCTTTTAATAAAGCAATATTATGTTAAATTCAATGGAAACGTCAGCTCTACTCATATAACTGTGGAAAAATCAACTACCAGTACTTCATCACCTTAGACGAAATAGAGTGAATACAATTCAAATAACTAGCAACTCATTTAGGTGTATCATATATTTCCGGTATTTTAATAAAGTTAAAATATCCTACTCCCTTTCTATCATAATAAAAAAGTAAAGGCAAGCAACTAAGAGATAAAGTATGGAAAATCTTAACAAATGTATGACTATTTTCAAATATGTGAACTCACTTAGATTTCTAGTGAATGTCTGTGATAATTAGATTTAAAGTATAATCCAGCTAGAAGGCCACGGCAGTTTAAATTTAGCCGGCAATAAATTGTCTCTACTAGAACCTTATGCTTGTTGCTAAAACCAAACGCCTTTAGACTCTGTAGGAAGCCAATTTTTCTCTACATATACAAGTTTTGACTTCCTCATCATCCCTCTGGCATAAGGCATTTGCTTTGAGTACATATTTGTTAGCGTTAGAGTTAGGGTTAGTTTTATGTTTAAGGTTAGGATTAGGGTTATGGTTAGGGTTTGGGTTAGGGTTAGGGTTAGCTTTAGGGTTAGGGTTAGGGTTAGGGTTAGGGTTAGGGTTAGCTTTAGTGTTAGGGTTAGGGTTAGGGTTAGGGTTAGATTTACGGTTAGGGTTAGGGTTAGGGTTAGGGTTAGCTTTAGT